CAAAAGTTCATCCTATCAAATTGCACTGATGAAGGCAACCCAAAAGGATCATGCTACAATCGGGTCAAGTACATCTCAGTTATAGTTATGGGCTTAGACATCAAATCCAACAAGAAGTGTGTAAAAGGAGGCTGCAAAGGGCGAGATGCAGCAGCTGGCAGACGGCGCTGATCTTGACCCGGCTGTCGGCGATTGTCACGGGACTCGTTGTGATTGTTTTTATGATTATTTTTTGTTTTGGTTTCCGTTATTGCTGCATTTTGAATATGGAGATGGAGATCTCGTGTAGAGAACTGTGGGTGCAGAGGTGTGATCGGTGTGTGAAGCATTAACTTGACAGGGTCGAGAAAAACGTTGATCTTCCAACAGAAGGATGGATCAAGTTTGGAGAATAGTAGGAAAGGCATCCTTGTGTGTAATTTTAGTGGACATGTGATCAAATTTAAGAGAGACGTCATTGAGAAAATGGGACACAATAGTTCGTTTGGGTACCGGGTATCCAATATTAGCAAGCAAATCAGTCGTGACCTTCATCTTTTCATAATATTCATTGACAAAATGATCTCCCATGGAAATGAGATGAAATTCATTGTCCAGTTCCATAACCCTAGCTTTTTTGTTGTCCCGAAATAATGCTTTAATCGATAGCCAAAGAGAGTTTGCAGTGGACCCGTGTTTAGTGACCATGTTGAGAAGGGATTGGATCAAGGTTCCATATATCCACATCTTGACAAGAGAGTCAAGTGTATACCGCTCTTCATCATCGGCATTTTTAGGTTTGGAGGATCTGTCCAAATGGCCAAGGACTCCAAAACCGGTATAGTGGGTTTGAAAGAGTTCACACCAAGAATCGTGATTGAGTTGGTTCAAATCGAGGATCAATGGGATGAATGCTTTGACGTTAGTGATGGCGTAGGGTTTCAAATTTGCTGAGGAGTGCTTGATTTTGGCATGGTGACGATGACAAGATGAAGTAGAAGATGGAGAACAGCGATTGAAGATGGAGAACAACGACTGAGAGGCAGCAAGAAAGAAAACAAGCGGCAGTAGGGAGGATTGGTGATGAGATGTAATCACAGTGCTTGTTATTGCGCTGATACCATTTTAGGGTTTGTATAATTTTCCCATAATCGAGACTTGCATTACGTATCACTATAAATACAAAGTACAATACATGTCGTACTGGGCCTATACAATTGTGGGCTAAATACATTGGTCTAATACAATACGACATATACACTAATATATCTAACCACAATGAAGTTTTTGATTTGTTATCCTTCATTTCTACAACAGATCCATTAGATATTTCTTTATCTTTTTTTTTTTTTTGCACAAGCTAATTATGGGGACTGATAGCTACCATTTAAACTAATCGGTTCTTCACAACATGCACTTTAGTTTGATCCACTAAGAGTGTGTATGAAGTATGATATCTAAATCAATGGTTAGTGAAATCATATATTTGATCAAATCCAGGCACCAAAGAAACTTTAGATAATATGATACAAATTCATTGATAAAATATGTAGCAAAAGATTAAAATGGGAGGACAGGAGGAACAAGAAACTAAATCTAAACTTCTTGAATCTCATCCAATGCATAGTTGTTGGTTGAAACATTTGCATAATTCACTTTGGTAAACCGCACAACAACTGGGTATCGAGACTTTGGGTCCTGCAAATCATATGAACATCAAATCCCATCCTCAAAACACATTCATTATTCACACCAAGCATATCATCTTACCTGATCTACAGTAACAACCGATCCCACTCCCTTAAACCAGTACGACTCCTTCCTCAAGATTTTCACCTGCGTCCACAAAATCATATTATATATCAACCACTCAGCTCCTTTCGTGTGTTATATATATATATATATATATATATATATATATATATATATATATATATATATATATATATATA